ATAGAAATTGTGATATTAAGAAGAGTAAGATTAAATCCTTACGTGGATGTACTTTTGAAGATTCGAATATAGTTTCCACTTCTGTTCAGAATGAATTAGGAGCTATTTCAATTATTTCATCAACAATACTCGATTCACAGTTGGATTTGAGAGGAGGAATTAATTCCATCATTACTCTATCTAGTTTTATCAATTCATCAATTCTTGAGATTGGAACGACAAGTTTTGAAGTTTTAATGTCAAATTTCACAATGAATAGTTCTCTATCAATAGTAGGAACACAACAATTAGTAGTAGCGAATTCTAATTTCTCAAACAGTTTGAATGCACTCTCTTTAGAATATGTGGCTGCCACTCAAATGGAAGCATGCAATTTTATTCGAAATGTAAAACCTATTCGAGTAACGAATCCTACATTTTTGGAGGGAGTTATTTTTTATATACAAATTGCATTTTCGATATTTCAAGACAATATAGGAGATAATGGAGGGGTCATTAACTCAATTAATACTAATTTGAAAATATCTGATTGTAAGTTCGTTTCGAATAGAGCTGCAAATGGAGGTGTATTTTATTTGAAAGGAGCTACATTTTCAGATTTCAACTCTGAGTTCATTTCAAATGAAGCACTTTCTGGATTTTTCGATTGTAATAACCTTGTAGAATGTGGAAGTGGAGGAATAGTTTATTCAGATTCGTATGGTTTTTTCAGTAAATCAAAGTTTCAAAACAATCATGCAGTGAAAGGAGGGATTTGTTTTAATGAGTGCTTGTTTGGAGAATCCAATCAATTTATTAATAATAAGGCAAGCTATTCTGGAGATGTGGTTTTCTATGGAACCTTGCCGAATCAAGAACCTAAACTTTCCATTACTCATATTGGATCTAGAAATTTGCAAAGTGTAGAGTATAGAATTATTGGAAGAGAAACTCCATTCAGTTCTAATGAATTCAATATCATTTCTCTCTATCCAGGCCAATCTGTAACTGTCTCATTTTCACTAATTGACTATTTCAATAATACTTTACAAAATTCCCTAACTCCTCCTTCCATTTCCTTAAATTCAAACAGTACACACAGAATTGTTACAAATTCATTAGATCTCTATAACAATACTGTATTCAATATCTTTATTCAAAATACGAAACTGACTGACAAACAAGAACTTGTGAATGTGACAGTTCAATTTGTAGACAGAGATTTTTCATTTAAAATTGGAATTCAAGTGGAGAAGTGTCCTTTTGATTATTCAATTGATACTTCCACAGGAGTTTGTGTTTTCAAAGCACATACTGCAATTATTTTGGCAGCTGTTTTCGGATTTACCATTTTATTGGTGCTATTAATTATTGGAATTGTGTCATGCATTAAAATAGTTCAGACCCTCATCAAGTTCTATAACAGAGAACGAAAGGAGAAGAAAATTGCTTTTAAATTAATTGACAAGCAATTCGTATTTGGAGATGAATCACCACTCTTGATTAATTTACTGACCTCCAATGCTAGTAATATTATTATTCCAATAGAAGATATTGAAATTGTAAAGAGAATTGGGGAAGGAGCGATGGGTACTGTTTTTTTAGCAAATTGGAACGAAACTAAAGTTGCGCTGAAAAGTATCAAGACTGAAAGTAGTGAGATATCCAATGATGAGTTTGAACATGAGGCAAGCCTTTTGAATAGCTTGAGGCATCCAAGTATTGTGAGGTTTTATGGGGTTACCCTTTCGAATACTAACAAGTATATGGTTGTGGAATATTTGGAAAATGGAAGTTTAGATTCTATTATTGCACAATGCAAATGTGGAAGGAAAAATCTTGATTTGAAAAGTAAGATTGAAATTTTGAAAGGAATTGCAAGTGGTATGGATTATTTACATTCACTGAAACCAAGAGCACTCATTCATAGGTACGTTTTTTTTTTGGTCAATTGAGAATTTATTGAAAAATAGAGATTTGAAACCAGGCAATATTTTACTAGATTCAAATTTGAATCCCAAAGTATGTGATTTTGGATTATCCAAATTGACTTCAAGTTCAGGAAGCTCAACCATGACAATGAACTTGGGAACTTTTCTGTATATGGCTCCAGAAATTATTGGAAGTGGACATGAAATTGGAAGTGCAATTGATGTTTATAGTTTTAGTATGATAATGTATGAATTATTCTTTGAGGAGAAACCTTACTATCCTTCGAATTCGATCAAGATGAGGAAAGTCATTTCGAATACATTGGATAGTAGAGAAGGAGATCTGCAACAATTTTCCTTTTCAATACCAATGAGAGTAGTGAAAGGTGAGAGACCAGATATTCCCTGGAATAACTCAACTGAGCTAGAAACTTGGATTGGAGAATATGTGAAATCAATCGAAAGTGATTTAAATTATTCGAAAGTATGCTCTCAATACATTGACCTCATGAAACAATGTTGGGATCAAAATCCCCACAACAGACCAACCTTCAAACAAATAACTCAAGCATTGAATCAATTAATCTTCACAATCCATCTTTAAAGATTTGGCGCCAATAACAGTAAAAAAATGGCGTCAACAATTAGAGTTGTTCCATTTACTATTCAGACAACAACCATTTCTAATAATATTTGATACAATCATTGTATGATGGTAACTCTTTTGTGTATTCCAGAAAGTCTACTACAATGTTCTTTTAAGTGTTTGTATTAAATCTCACCAACCATCAAAAAGTCTCAACATTTTTCCTTTCTCACCAATTCAATGAAGAGATTTTCCCAAATATTCAAAATAGAAATAATCTATTAATAATCTTATTGTTTAGAATTGTTTCCAACCAACACGTCACATAACATGACCATTTGTGACATTTTTAATGTTTGATTGCTTTGTAAACT